AAGAAAAATTAAACAGAAAACTCAATACTGAACCACAAATTCCTAAATTTCTGTTCCACCTATATTGCCGAAAAGCTATTAAATTAATTGTTAAAAACATTTTAATTTAGCTAATATAATTTGATGAAATTTTTTCTTCCTATATCTACATATTATATAATTTTTTTATACATATTATTAATAATATGCAATGATTCACAAACAAACAAAACTTATAATTATAACAATAATTGTATTTATTGTTAAATAATTTAATTAAATAAAAATTAATAATAGATTCCGAGTGTTATTTTTGTATTAAAATACTTTTCATGAAGAAAAAGATCTCAGGTCTCTAACTTTTAGAGAGGAATCAGACAGAAGTTAGATCTAGTTTTTACTTTGACAAATTAGCAGAAAACATTTCGTAGAATTATATTATATGATATTCGATAAAAACTAAGAAAAAACTTAAGAACGGGAACATTTACGCAAAACTGGTTTTCATCAAAATCAACTTAAAATAATATTTATTGTGATTTGAATTGATCCCATATTATATTAATTGTATAAGTATTTTTCTAGACCTAGAAGTAATATTTTAATTTCAATTTCACTTATTTATGATACACTTTTTACACATTTGTTAGTGAGTATAATAACTTGAAATGTAATGGACTCAAAGTGCTTTGTAAATTATTCTTATAAAAATTAAAGTATATTATTAAAAATATATCTGTCATATTGTTTTTTTTTCGTGTTAGAAACATTGAAAAAATTTGTTGAAATTACGAAAATTCATTTTTGACAAATATTTTGGTTAGATATATATATATAACATTTCAACTTTTAGACCTAAATAGTTAGAAGAAACTTATAGTTGTAAAATATGCATATCGATATCAAGAAGAGATTTAGTAAAAAATTTGTATGGGAAGTTAAGACAAATGAATTTAAAACACGGCTCATAAATTTACTTTTAAGATGTGATGTTAAAAGCGTTTAGAAAAAATAGGTGGATAGATAAATAAACAAACGTAATAATTGTAAATAAAAACATATATTTGTGTATGCGATTAAAAAAAGCGTTGGGATCATACCAAACTTGCTTTGAGATACCAACGAAAGTTACATGACATCGTTATAGAAGAAATTACATAACAGAGGATTGGAATATAAACTAGCCTACGAGTTAAAAAAAAAAAGGTTGAAAATTTAATTTAATATAAGGTTTCTATAGCAGGTTTTTCGTACCAGAATTTAAAAAAAAATGCATAGATCGATATATTTTTTTATGAGGGTTTGAATTTAAAACTTAAGATTATAAATTATTTTATAGATTTGTGAGCAGATGGCTTCTACTCAGAATTGAATTTGATCTTATAAATATCATTGAATTAAGATTTAATATATATCTATTAAAATAGCCAATTAAATGATTACGAGGTACAATCGACACTTACAAAACAGCAGAGCGACTTTCCAAGTTTTTATTTTTTATTTTTTTACTTCATAATATAATTAAATCAAATTTTAGAATTTGTATTTTTACTCCTATCCAATTTGATTGGACGTATACATTTATCCATATGACAAATTACTAGAAATCTAAAACTGTTCAATAAATATCAAATAAGTAGTTTAATTTTTCAAAAATAGACATGAAGTACTTCAAAATATTATAAGGATAATGTTGTTTTTTTTTTTTTATAAACATCGTATTTCGTCACACATGCAATTGATATTGTATCGTTGTGTCGAAACATAATTTATGATATTGGTACATTATGTACCGCAATAAATATTCAAGTTAAACTTGTAATTTTTTTTTCATCATTTAACACTCATTGTTGAAAAAGCGGGTAAGTCGTGGATATCACTTTGCTGTACAGTAGGTTACTATAGTAGCCAGTAGGTTACTGTAATGGATGGAATTAAATTTGAATCCAATAATATTATATCACTGTATACGAAAAACGATTCTGAGTGGAACGGTTTATCTATCTAGGAAATATTAAAGATTATTAGAAAATTTCAAATCTTAGATTTAAAGAGAAAAAAGTAGCTCAAATGTTTTGAAAATTTTACCATGTCTAAGTAAGGCTAATATAAGTAAACAACCCAAATTTAAAGTTTTTACGAATGTTTTTAACCAAATTACAATAAAAAACTCCCAAAATTAAAATATTTATAAATACCTAGCTGAAAAATGGCTAAAATGTTCCGAATTTTAAATCGTAAGAAACAAAATCTAAAATAGACAAAAAAGATCTCTTATCATTTTTTATTTGAAGCAATATTTCTGGTAGAAAATGTCGTCCGTAATTATTTAATATTGTAAAATCGTGACATACCTAGTACATTTTTTCTCTTTTAACCGCTTTTATTCCGAGTGTCGTTTTTAAAATTGAAAAATGACCTCTCTAATACCAGCTCAAGAACATTAACTTTCAGAAAAGATGCTATATTTGATACTTTTGAGCAAGTTTAGAGCGAGAAAAAGTATTTATAGAATAAAAAAGAAATAAACATCATTGTACAACCAATACATTCCTCGCTCTGCTCAGAATCTAAAATCTTGAATGTAACACGAAACATACTCATATCATAATATATTCATAATATGTCTATGTTGTTACATATCTATTGACATTATTTTTTCACCCATGAGTTATTTTTTGTTAAAACCATGCTTAAGTATGTTGATTTTTAAATGGCCAATTAAACGTTTAATTTCATGCTTATATGAAGAAAAATAATTTTTTTTTTAAATTGAAATTTAGTTATACATTACAATTACTTATTTATTAACTAGTTGAATCCGTACACTTCGTAGTCCATTAAAAAACTTACCTCTTATATGCTCTAACTGTGTGTTAAAATTGTTTCTGCATGTGATTATGCTAGCAGTATTTTTTCATACACATAGATAAATAACAGTTAAAATATATCAAATAATAATCTGACAACGGTATTCAATTTAGTTTATCATTATATAATTTTATTTGTTTTATCGAGATAAGTCTGAAAATTTAAATATTAAATTTAATGATATTTAGGTCCATCACTTTTTAACTTAGTCTATCTTCTGCCCATAGGTCTAATATGTATCTCTCTGTACCAAATTTCGTCGCAATCGGTCCAGCTGTTTAGGAATGCATAAAAGACAAACAGACACATAGACAGACAGACAGAAATACATTTGTATATATATATATATATATATATAGACTAGGAATAGAATTAAATCGTTAAATTATATTATATTCTTGTGTATAGGCCATAAATAAACTATAAATGTTGTAAATTAAACAATATTCTATTTGACTCAAATTCCTCATAATACAGAACAATTTTTACCAACAATAATATTATGTAGGTGATTATCATTATAAAATAGGTTTGATATTTACTGTCTGTGCATTATGCACATTTCCAATAACATATGAGTGATCTACCTATATTTTGCGGTTCCATTAATAATTCGCATGCATGAATATTATTGTCTCGGAACAAGAAAACATATATTATTTTGCATGAAATTTTTTTTCTATCTTCTGACGGAATACTAACTAAACGAGGTATACATTATTTTAATACGCCTAAAGTTAAAGTTATGTTATGAGATTCCATGCTCCTTAAAAAAACTAATTCTATCTAGAACGCCTCGTAAACTTTGTAACCCTAATATAAATTTAATGGTCTAGAGAAATCTTTCTCCTTACTCCCTCAGAAAATCTCTCTAGTCGTAACACAAAATAAATAGAGATTTTTTAAGACGATTCAGGTCATAGTTAWATTATATAACGAATTTCAAAAACTCGCTTACATTGAAACCAAAATATGTAAATGCAATTGAAGCCATATTTAAGTAAGAGTCCAAATATTCTTAAGTACCCAATCGAAATACTTGGAAGATCATTGCTACATTTAAAAATATATTTTCTACAGATCTTGATATATTGGTTAAGTTCAACTAAATAATAACAGGATTAACATTATATAAGTATAAAAACAAGAAGTAGTAAACCTTAAACAGTAAAAAGTTACCTAAAAGCTTAAAACATCTCTTAATATTACTTGCATATAACAGCCAGATCTACTTAAATGAAAAAACTGTGATATATTATTAAGAATAACGTTGATAATGATATAATTTTGAAACTCGACGAATTTAATATTGCTACACTGTTGTATTCCATAATATGATTGTTAATTTTAGTTTATTAATTACGTTGCGACGCTATTGGTTAACTGAATAAAAAGGAAAATTCCATATTAAATATATTATTTTCAGATAATCAAATTATTATATCAATTCCGTCGGTTGAAAAAAAATGTATTAATTGTAAGAATTTGGGGTAACATTTGACTAAAAATTAACATCTATAATGTCGTCACACTTTTTAAAGCTATACTTATAATATAGCTACAATTTATGCGACTGCAGTTTATACTTGTATACAAAAAAAGGTACAGATGCTCGATTAAATCTTATATTATCTAAACACTATTTTTTAAAATTTTTCAATAAATCAGGTTATTGGTCGATATTAAAATATGAATTKATCCCCACGATTTTTGTCATAATATGATTTTTTCCACGGCTTCATATACATCTCATACACAGTTGGTCCAACCAACAATAGTAAAATTAATAGCACCTAAATAATAATTTGCGTTAACGACCCCTGATTTATGTTATCGAAGTGTTCCACTCGTGACAAGTTGAATTAAATACATCGCAACACACAGACACCGACACACACACTCACACATACAGACACAATCGGATAATGGCTGTTGAAACCATTGAAAACCTACAATAACGTGTCATGGTCCGCGATCGGAATTCGAACGAGGACAAAATGTCACTTTGGGCTACGATCGGATGATACCCAAATTTAACTTCCGGAATGCCATCATATGGAAGTAGGTCGTCCGTCCGTCGTTTCTCTTATAAGCAGCATGCAGTGAACGAATTTAATAATATTATTTATGTTTGGCGCGCTTGACCACAGGTATCGGTAACCGGGGCGTGAACGCGTTGCGCGACTCTGACACGGATGGAAAGTACGCGACATCATTGGCTGAGGTGCAGGCCACGCTGAGTGGTGAGAGCTTGACGATGGCTGCAATATTGCGGCCGGCCGAGCCGCTGGCCGTGCTGTGCCACGGCGATTTTTGCCGCAACAACCTGCTGTACCGGTACGACGCGGCCACCGGGCGGCCAGTGGACGTTGTCGTGCTGGACCCGGCGCAGGCGCGGTACGCGTCCCCGGCCATCGACCTGTCGTTTTTCCTGTACATGAACACGTCGGACGCCGATCGGGTCGCCAACTGGGACCGGTACGTGGCCGCCTATCTGGACGGCGTTGCGGACGTGACGCCTGCCGGCCGGACCGCGCCCTTGACGGCCGCCGACGTGCACGCCGAGATGCGCGCGTACGGCCTGTACGGTTACGCGCACTGTTCGTTCTTCCTGCCGGCCATGGTGAACGCCGAGCCACCCGACGTGCAACGGCTGACCAAGTGCACAGCCGACGAGCGCATCGACCTCATCAACGAGTCCGGCGGACAGGAGGCCGACAGGCTGCTCGCGTCAATCGTCCGACACATGGCTGACCGTGGATACGTCTGACCACCTTATGTCGACCAGACGACGACCACGACTACACGAGTGCAGCTCAGCAAATTTTCGTGAAAACCGTGTAGGCCGCGTGAACCATTCACTCTGACTGTGGTCGCGGTTGACGAACCGGATTTATGTACAGATGACAAATAACTTTTCAATGTCATTTTTTTTTCTTCATATATATCACAATATATTTAATTCATCTAATAAATGAATCTTTCACTTTGCGTTCCATCAAACAAAATCAAGTATGATCATCACAATCACCACTTATGCATATAGAATGCTCTGCCAGTTAAACTGTTTATTTTTATTTGGCTATCTCGTTACTTTTGCTCAAACTTGATTTTATGTTTTTTGTTTTGGATTTTAATTTCTACTTACAATTATAGAATTAATCTATTTGGTGTGAGTATTGAACTGTGAACTTTATTAAATGAGTTACATGTATTGCGTCAAATAAATAAATTACAATAGCAATATTTTTCGTGTAAATTACAGAAAAAAAAATATATTAAAAAGATACGACACAACAAAATATATCATTATTGTGTTCTTTATTACATGTCTACATATTATGTATTTAAAACTGTGTGTACCAAGACCCTTAAAAATCTGGATAGTATATTCTTAATAATTCATAAAAATTTAGATACCTTTAATAAATTATTTAAACATTCATTATTTTTAATGTTTTTTGAACTTAAAAAATTGTATTTAAATTATTACATATTTGGATGATAGCTGCAATATAGAATACTAACACTGTGACACAGAAAATATTGTCTACCGTTTTATTTGTATTATGGTGCATCAAACCATACAAAAATTACTGTAACCTGATTGCTGAGTACCTATTTCATTTTCGTACGAAACGGTTTTCACAAACTATAATTAGGCGTGCGAAGGTCTACTACTACGGTATGTCGGTATACTTCCTCCAACGGGCGTCCAAACACACTGTTTCTTACCATTCCATATGATAATATTTAACATTCAGGTAATAAAATGTCGGAATAGCTGGTAACCCGTTGACCATTACATTTGCAAGTTGAATATTAAACATTAAACTCTACAAGACACGACTACTGCGCGGTAGTGGAAACCCAGGCGATTCTTACACCTTTTTAATGTTGATATGAGTACTTTGTACAATATTTAATGTATTATTATTATTATTATTATTTTAAAAGCGTACAACACTTATATGTGTTTGTTGCAATGTCATGACGTCTGTAAAAATCACATTATTGTTACCTAACACGGTAATATACAACGGTGCAGTTTTCTGTTTGTCTTTTGTGAGTTTTGTGTTCACAGTAGGTATTTTTTTAATGCAACAATGTATCCGGTCAAATGGAAAAACAATCCGTGATCTACTATTTCTGCAATCACCCTTCACCTTAATACCCCACCTAACACAACAATAACTATTTCAACTTTTCCTCATATTTATGGATAGAGATGATGACATTAATTAATACATTTTTTTTATCGTTTATTGTTTTGTGTTCGATTTTGTTGTAGTCGTCATTAACTTAACATCAAATTATATTATGTAATTTAGAAGACACTTCCGTGTTACCTATTATTTATTTTTATCATTTTCCTTATCTAGGTATCTCAGTTTTACGTATCATAGGTCCCGGATGTGCCTGTTCCACTTTAAACTTACCCTGATCACCATTAACTACGCGATGTGCATATTTTGAATTTTTTAAATATTTTTAATTATTATGACAACATAAAATAATTATTCTTAGTGTATAATTACTGTTATGTAAAACATTTTATAATAATAACTACCAAATCATAAATTCACAACATTATTAAAAATGTAAGCTTGCGACGGCACTGAACGTCCAAATGACATATTACTATAGGTACATTAAATTATCATTATCGAATACATTATTCATGCATAATACTAAATAGTAGCTCACAGAATTTCATTGTATTTAATAAACTTCTTGAAGAGCATAATACTTCTGTTGATAGGTTTGGTCCACCGTCCAGTAATTGACACGCAACGACTTGTTGAATACAGTGTTATAATATTATTTTTTATAAATATAGGTAATTACTACGTATCTTGCAGACTATAATCAACTAATTATTTATACTTTATCAAAAAAAAAAACGTACTTATCTAGCATACGCGAACATTAGATTACTTCATAGGTTATAATATCTGAGTATCAATATATATCTATGTAATGCGTTATGTATATTTGTTATTATTTTAGATACATTTATATTAATTATTTTCATCATTTTATGTTAAGTAGACAGCTTTAATAATGAAACTAGTTATTATTTTTAATATGGTTATTAGGAACTATGCTCATATTTAGGGCCAGAAAGAGGAAAATCATTTAAAAAATAAATTTCAACTTCATCAGGTAAGATAATTATAAAGCACATAATTGTGATATACCATAGAATATATTATATTATGTATATTTGTCTAATTATTTATACGATCACATTTTTAAAGAATTATAATAACAAATATTATTATAAAATCGATCTAAACCTACAAATCTACCTAACTTGTTGGTCATTAACTTAGAAAAATGATCCATAGTACTATACAAAGTTATTTAACTAAAAAACTATTTATTCAAATTTTGATGTCAAAAAAATATACTCTGTTAAATAATTAAAAGTTAAAAGAGAGAGGAGTCCTATTTAAAAATCAGAAGATTCTATTACCCACTGTATAATTATTAAGTAGTACAAAAAAATTTCAAGTATTCAAAAATATGATCTTTGGGTGTATGAGGATATTTTAAAATTTCAAAGATTGAAATTTGTTTATATTATTATTATGTTTAATTTTAACATGAAAATAGTATAAGCATGTTTAAACAAATTACCCTATATGTTATATGTTATATGTTATATACACAGGATGATTCACCAAGTATGTTCATCTTCCAATATATTTTTTAAATATGCTTTGTACTTTAAAAAAAAAAATTAATTTAAAGTTATTAAAGACATCGGAATACTTATATAAATAACTACAAAACACTTTTTACTATAACGGTAAAAACAAAAAAATAAAATAAAAACTACCTTTTTTATTGATTCATATTAAAGTACATTTGCTGGGAGACTTGTTCTCTCTGTCATTTTCGTATGTAATTTTTTTTATTAATTTTATCGCTTAAAATGATTGTTCTAACTGAAACAAATGACGCAATATAAACATTTTTAGAAAAAACCTTTTTTTTTACATTTAAAAAAAATTTTAGTTTTCTAAATCGTAACCTGAATTATATAGTAACAATTATGTTTTTCAATTGGAAATAAAGCTATACACATCACATGACTCCTTATGAGAAGTTAATTCTAAAGAGTTTTTTATTTATTTATTTTATCCAACCAAAGCACTAATGTGTTCCCAAAACAGCCTGTTTTTTTAATTTTAATAATGTACCTACAATCTACATGTAAATTAAAATTATGCAAAATAGTTGCGTATCAATATTACAACATTGGATGTAGGTATTCGTTTTAGTTCAACTAATTTTATTTGTTAACAAAAGACAGTTTATTGTGATATTATTATGGTATTTAATCCTATAAATAATTGTATTAATTGATTTGCTAAGTATCTATCTAAATGAAACTGACAATATCAATATATAATTAATGAAGCCATGATGTATTGAAAGCGCATTGTTAATATTATATTATAAAATATACCTATTAGCACCAATATGCGATACTTGTGACGTAACTATCTGACAATAGAACATATTGTAATCATCTTCTTCAGATATATCGAAGCTAGAAAGATACTCAGAAATCCACTCTCGCTCCACCAAACTCTCAAAGATGAGAACACAGCTGCAATATGTACATGTTTCCACAATATAAACCTAAGCTATTCACTGTAAATACTATATAAATATTTGCATTAAAATGTAATGTAATATAATATCTTGTGTCTAAATTTTAATTACACTTTGACTAAACTAATCTATCTAAACCTTTTCATATGATAGAAAAAAAAAAAAAA